TATTAGATATTATTAATTAAAAAGTCAGGTTTGAAGTAGTTTGCCCTTAAAGACACAAAGCAAAGGCATCTAGTTCACACTGCTGACTTGTATTCTATCCCTTTACATTAATCACTATTATTTGCTAACATTCACTATGGGCAAAGCCCTTTCTGTGTGCTTAATTTTCACATTAACTATTATCATAATTTTAATGGTATGGAAATGAAGATGCAGGATTTATACAAGAACAACAGTTTTTAAGAGATAAACCCTAGGATGGGGGGTGGGGGGTGGTACACACCTTTAGTCTCTGCACTCCAGAGGCAGAAGCAGGAAGATCTGTGTGAGTTCGAGGCCAGCCTAGTCTACAGAGACAGTGCCAAGACAGTCAAAGCTCTTACACAGAGAAAGTCTGTCTTGAAAAACCGTGTGTGTGTGTGTGTGTGTGTGTGTGTGTGTGTGTGTGTGTGTGTGTGTGCATTTTATGTATTCATGGTTTTCAGAAAAGTAGTTTCTACCTGTAAAATTTTAATGTCATTAACTATTAAAAACATATTTTAAATTCAGACATAGTGCTGGAGAGATGATAGGTCAACAGTTAAGAAATTGGATGTGCCAGGCAGTGGTGACGAACACCTTTAATCCCAGCACCCCGGAGGCAGAAGTGGGCAAATCTCTGTGAGTTTGAGGTCAGCCTAGTCTACAGAGTGAGCTCCAGGATAGCAAAGGGTATACAGAGAAACCCTGTTTCGAACCCCCTCCCTCCTAAAAAAGTGCACTGGATGCCCTTCCAGAGGGCCTGAGTTCTAGTCCCAGCACCCACAGGGTGGTTCATAATTGTTTGTGACTCCAGTTACAGACCATCAGCCACCTTCTTCTGACCTCTAAGGATGCCAGACACACATGTGGTGCAGACATATATGCAAGCAAAACACCCATAAACTTGGGAGAGGGGAAGTGAAACAAGCCTGTTCCCTAACTTGAATTAATAATAATAATAATAATAATAATAATAATAATAATAATAGAAAAAAAAACACCCATAAACTTAATTCAGACAATATTGGTATTGGGCAATTCTCACTCTAAAAAGAACATTACATATTTTTATCTCTTTTATGTCAACCCCAAATGTCTGCCTCTGAAACTCAGTCTCCTTCAAAGGCAGAAATCTGGAAAGGCATCCTAGCCTCACACCTTCTTTAAGAACACTTATCTTGAATTGCTGCTGCTTTAGCACCTGTCACACTGAACCACAGACTGCTGTTAATCATTTCTACCTGTAACAAAAAAACACTATTTCTAAACTTTACTGGACAGTCAGTCAAGATAAAACTTTTTTCAGGATATTATGCAACACTTACTCTTAACTAAAAGCAACTAAAAAAATTAGTAAAGAGCATGAAGCTCAAGACTGACAGCAATGCTTTCTTGCTTTTCTGTAACCACAGCAGAGTTAGAGTTCAATTTTAAAACAAACTGCATCTTATTTCATCTTGCCAAACCCTGAGACATTTCCTCTGACAGCGGGAAGCAGGGAGAAAGGAGCTATACTAAAATGGTGACTTCAATGCAAGATCTTTGGTTTTTGAGACAGGGTCTCTCAGTATAGTCTATCAGGCTGGTGAACTTCCTGCGTCAGTATCAAAATTACAGATAACAGGTACCACGTTCAGCTTCACTGAGGTACTTCAAAAAGACTTTATATTTTCTGTTGTTGCTTTTTTGAGTGTGTCTCATTATGAAGCCTTGATTGGCTTGGAATTCTTTCTATATAGATCAGGATGCCTTCTAATGTACAGAAATCCATCTGTCTCTGCATCCTGAGTGTTGGGACTGAAGATATATGTCACCACACCCAGCCGTTTTTAAAATGATTCTTTAGTTAAGAATACAAATGTATTTCACCATGGCATGGTCATATGATTTTTTTTAAACATAAGAAAAATTATGTGAGGGGGCTGGACAGATGGCCCAGTGCTTAAGGACTGTTCTTCCAGAGGACCAGGGGTTCAATTCTAACACCCACAAGATGGCTCACAACCATCTGGGATTCATACGCCTCCTTCTGGCCTCTTCTAGGCACTGCTTGCAGTGATGCACAGACACATGCATGCAAAAATCATCCATACACATAAAACACAAAAATAAAAATAAAGCTTTAAAAACACTTTGTGAGGAAGGCAGAGGGTGGTGCTTATGGGGGCCAAAACAACTGTGAGAATCAGTTTTCTCCTTCTACCATGTGGGTCTAAGGGTTCTATTTCAGGGTGTTAGGTTTAACAGCAAGTGTCCTATCCAGTCATCTTGCTAGCCCCATAAGGCAGACTTTTATATTCAAGTAGTCAGTTGAACAACAAGAATCTTGCATTGAGGACACTGAAACTATTACTGCTTTCTGGTTATCAGTAAATTGGCAATGGGCAGGAGTTTATGATAGGACATTCATTTAGTGTGTATTTCAGGTGTTCCTTTCCAGCTTGTAAACCTTGTAGACATTCATTTAGTGTGTATTTCAGGTGTTCCTTTCCAGCTTGTAAACCTGATGATTCATTCAACAGAAACTTATTGAGTACTTTTGTAGTTACAACAGACAGATACTGTTTTAAGTGCCAGTAGTGGGCTAGGAGTGTGTCTCAGTGGTAAAGTGTGTGCCAGCAGCTGCATGGCCCTCGGTTCCATCTATAGCACCACAAAACAGACAAGGGAAAATGTCATTAGTGACAAATGTCTACAGCTATGTTGCAAATAGCAATTCTATACTATAATTAAGAAAAATGGGTAGTATTGGGGGATTTATACTATTAGGAAAGTGCAATGCAAACCCATCTACTGGAAATACCATTTTAATATATAAATTTCACTGTTCACAATGCCTCTTTTTAGCATTTTTCCCACTACCATAAAGAAATGTTAAAAGCTGGGTGATGGTGGCACAGTCCTTTAATCCTTGCACTTTGGAGGCAGAGGCAGGAGGACCTAAAGTTTTGGGATAGCCAAGACTACACAGAGAAACCCTGTACTGCTAATATAAAATTTACTTGGTGGCAGTATATGCTTGCATTTTTCTGATGCACCAAGGGAGTCAATCCATGACAACACATTAAAAGAATAAAAATGTTGATTCTTGCTAGGTGTGGTGGCATCCTATAGTCCCAGTGGAGGCTGAAGCAGAATCATCTTTTGTTCAAGGCTAGTGAGAGCTACTTGGTCTTAAAATTTCTTTTTTACTATTTGATCATAGTCAGGACTAAAAATTTTAATTCCCTGGCTGCCAGATAGAATGATTCCTCAATACTTAACATCTGTCTTGAACATAAATGGCCAACTTTTTCTTGTTTTGTTTTTGTTTGTGACTTTGGAGGCTGTCCTGGAACTAGCTCTTGTAGACCAGGCTGGTCTCGAACTCCCAGAGAGAGATCCACCTGCCTCTGCCTCCCGAGTGCTGGGATTAAAGGCGAGCGCCACCACCGTCTGGCTCCAAATAGCCAACTTCTAAAACCTAGATCTTTATCAGAAATTGGAAAATTAGGAATAGGAAGCTGCCAAACAGTAAGTAGTAATGTAATTAAAGTTATAGAACAGCACTGTTCATTTGGAAGTTAGCCCAAAACACAAAAATTTGGAGGAGAAATGTTGGTAGTTGAAACAGAACCAGGGTTCCAAATATGCTGCCTCATTCCTTTATCTGCAGACACTTCCTCCCATACCGTTTACCCAAATGGCTATAACCACCCTGGAAGCTCTCAGACAGGTGGGAAGCCAGTATTAGAAAACACAAGAGAACACATTTGATGCTAAGATCACAAATACTAGAATTTAGAATGACCAATCCACGACTGTGCGTTGGAGATAACAAAGCATTTTTTTAAACCTTTCAAAATTCTTCCTTTGACAAATCATGTTTTCGCCAAAGACTCAGTTCCTTTAAGAACCACCACCTGCCAGCGGGCATAATCCTCCTCTAGAAGACGTCTGCACTGCAGATCTCTGCACGAGGAGAGCTCGCTTGTCAGCTCCCACCAGCAGGCAGACATGTATACAATAGAAACTAAAGGAGGCCGGCAGCGTCCCACCTAGTCTTTTCACAGACAAGGGAGAAGGGGGTCCAACCAGCCCAGGCTTTGTCTGAATTTTCTCCTCTTTTCCCTGCAGTAAACGTTCTCTTTTGTTATACTGCTATCGAGAATAGGCCATCGAAAACATGAAATCAAAACATGGTGATGACTTGACATGACTGTATTTATTATCTTCTAGAATATAGCAACTGATTGCGTGTCCCCACCCCCACGATGCGCTCGTGAAGAGCCGGCTGTGTTGCAGATGCAGCCAAGGATCCATCTTGGACTATCGGTAGCTCCCTCCCAAATGTTCCTGTGCTATTCTCATCACGCCTCAGAGACTCAGAAAAATCTGGCATTCAGTTTAGCCCAAAACAGTAATAGAACTTCCTGATTCTTCTGGCAAACAACAAAAACAACAACAACAACAAAAAATTGGAGGGGGGGGGAGAGACTATCACTCACGTAAGATTGTGTCAACACCTGTCTGCAAACCTGCAACGCCACCCCTTCCCACCACCACGCCTCTCAAAACCCTAACATCATTTCTCCTACGACCCACCTGTCACAATCCTCTGAAGCTCGCTAATCCTCCGCTAAATCAGCCGCCACCCCCCCCTCTCCCCCCTA